ATAGTGGATAGTATAGAGAATAGTAATTCGTATAATGATCAGTATAGAGAAATAGTATAGTGGATATTATAGAGAATAGTAAGTCGTATAATGATCAGTATAGAGAAATAGTATAATGGATAGTATAGAGAATAGTAAGTCGTATAATGATCAGTATAGAGAAACAGTATAGGGGATAGTATAGAGAATAGTAAGTCGTATAATGATCAGTATAGAGAAATAGTATAATGGATAGTATAGAGAATAGTAAGTCGTGTAATGATCAGTATAGAGAAATAGTATAGGGGATAGTATAGAGAACAGTAAGTCGTATAATGATCAGTATAGAGAAATAGTATAGTGGATAGTATAGTGGATAGTATAGAGAATAGTAATTCGTATAATGATCAGTATAGAGAAATAGTACAGTGGATAGTATAGAGAATAGTAAGTCGTATAATGATCAGTATAGAGAAATAGTATAATGGATAGTATAGAGAATAGTAAGTCGTATAATGATCGGTATAGATAGAAATAGTATAATGGATAGTATAGAGAATAGTAAGTCGTATAATGATCAGTATAGAGAAATAGTATAGGGGATAGTATAGAGAATAGAAAGTCGTATAATGATCAGTATAGAGAAATAGTATAATGGATAGTATAGAGAATAGTAAGTCGTATAATGATCAGTATAGAGAAATAGTATAATGGATAGTATAGAGAATAGTAAGTCGTATAATGATCAGTATAGAGAAATAGTATAGGGGATAGTATAGAGAATAGTAAGTCGTATAATGATCAGTATAGAGAAATAGTATAATGGATAGTATAGAGAATAGTAAGTCGTATAATGATCTGTGTAGAGAAATAGTATAGTGGATAGTATAGAGAATAGTAAGTCGTGTAATGATCAGTATAGAGAAATAGTATAGTGGATAGTATAGAGAATAGTAAGTCGTATAATGGTCAGTATAGAGAAATAGTATAGTGGATAGTATAGTGGATAGTATAGAGAATAGTAATTCGTATAATGATCTGTATAGAGAAATAGTATAGTGGATAGTATAGAGAATAGCGATCACTTAGACGCCACACTAATTCCATTTATACGTTTCTTTTACGATCACGTAATCTACTTAGAATCATCTGTGTTTACTCCCAGGTGATCTGTGTTCAAACTACGTTGTCGGCAACGATACTTAATTCCTATACAACAGGCTTGCATATTCGAGAAGATTAATGGATGGAAATGTGCTCCCCGACAGAAACCATTGTTTAATCCGAGGTTCTTTAGACTGATCGGTCACAAGGAGGAGGCTGTAACAGGCGGTGGCTTCCTCTTCAAAGGGCGACCCAGATTTGAACCCTGTTGGGAGACATATTGTCTTTATTAAGTTTCTCGAATGCGGAGGCCGGTAGCCGTAATTATCACTGTTTAAACTAAATAAATAAAAAACAGGGTGTCTACTCAAACAAGTGTGTCCACAGAAATGACGTTTAGAGTAAATTCAATTCAGTAAATATCATCTTGGTATTGCACAAGTACTTTATTCTTTATACTTTTGTTTTATTTTTGATGAAACGAAAGTAATTGGAGACGTTAACGGTTAAGGCACGTCAGTGCTAAACGACTGTTACGTATAGGATACAGGTTCGATTCCTGTAGGAGGACGAATATTTTCTATGAAAATTTCTCAGACATTCAGGCTGGTAAATGTTGTATAATACTGTTTATTATAAAACAGAGCATTTACTTAAATATTTGTATCTATAAAAGAGAATGTATAAACATAAAAAATGTCTTACAATAATTGCCGGAATTTGTCCATTTCATAATATGTGACGTCATTTGTTTACATTTGGATATGCCATGAGCAGATATGAATGTACGTGAGAGAATCATGGAAGATTGTAGTTTAAAGACAGTAAAATCGACCTTGCTAACCAAACGATCCTCTGTGGCTCAATCGGTTAAGGCACGTCAGGCTATATGACGGTTCCGTATAGGATACAGGTTCGATTCTTGTCGGAGGACGAATATTATCTATAACATTTTCTCGGACATTCAGGGCAGTAAATGTTATTAATACTGTTTATTATAAACAGAGCATTTACTTAAATATTAGTATCTATAAAAAGAATGTATAAACATAAATAACATATACCCTGTTAGACGGCCTATTGGTTTGTTTTGTTTTGTTTTACGGCATATCAACACCTCAATGGGTTATTTAATGCCGACAAGATTTTAATTGCTGCTAATATTTTTTTCAAAACTCTATTTTCATCTAATATTTTTTTCCAAAATATTATTCTTTCAAAATATATGCTGGTAATATTTTTCTTTTCCAAAAAAGTATTGCTGGTATTAAAAACCTATTTTTATACTTTCATAATATTTTGACTCCTTCTGAGGGGTTAACTGGGACCATGACAGGTTCTACCACCCGGGGTTAGGGTGAGCCTGGGAATACCAGCAATTAAGAGTTGGTTCCATGCTCCTCAGAACCTCCTGATCAGAGGCTTTGCTGCCGGATATTGTTTATCGCCTTACCCAGGACGCCGGCCTATTGAACGTAGATTCCCCCCCCCAATTACTCTGCGTTCAGTACAGAGGTTAATCCTGAAAGCATGTCTCCTGGAAGTGAATAAACAAGAAGTAAACAATAAAAATATTCCTAAAGAATTCACCAAGGAAAAAAGAAATTACGAAATTTCACAATATTTTACTGGTTATTTTGTAGAAATTCAAGATTTTACAGAAATATTTTCTTTGACTGATATATTGCTACTTGATTTGTGTGTGTTTTTTTTGTTGATATACAGGTAATGGAATTTGCTTTTCTGCATGCATGATATGGGATTCCATTTACCAACAAGTAATATATTTCTGGGGTTTTTTTTTGTCTATTACCATATGTACCAGTGTTCACTGATAGCAGTAGATTTCTTAGTAGCTATTATGAATTTATTGTATGTGCAGATGTTGCTCCCTGAAAAACAACTAAAGCAATTTTCAATAAATGAATGAGGAAATATACAAAAATTCTTCTTTTCCAAAAAATATCCTGGTAATTAAACCTTACCTCACTTCTATTAAAAAAGTATCAGTCGTATAAGTTGTGTTAATACCGTAAGGGTTTCTTCATGGTTAGTGAGAAGGTCACATAAAGGTAAGGTTATAAATTTGATTTTGGGGGGTTGTGGGGTGTTTTTTTTTTTTCTTAAATCTTCAATGCCAAAATCTGGGTGCGTCCAATGCGTGGGCCGGCGCATACGGTAATTTCAGTTTGAATGTGAAAATGCCTTGCCATTAAGAAAATGGACGAATCAGTCAAAATTCGATGAAATATAAACATTCTGACAAAACTCAAGAATCTTATAGAAATACTAAACCCTGCAAATAGCGAATAATGAAGAGACGAGGTCTTTATGTTTGCCGACATGTTTTTATTGTAAGCGGATAATTGAAATGAAAATACGAATCCTCATTTGACTTAAAAGTGTTGTTCGTTAAGTACAATCAACGACATTAATGCCTGAAGCGTGTTTCCCTCAATATCCAACATTGAGAAATTAAATTTCTATTCTCTTTTTACTTTAACTATTTCTTCGTTTGCAGAAAACTCGCCAGTCATTCGATATAGAAACTAAAATTAAAAGCTCCGAAGCTGGTGTATTTTTAGCCTGGATCCTAGTTTATTAAATGACCGAGAAATAGCGTTTATGTATACGAAGTGTCTCTTCCTGCCATGATTCAGATTATGGTAATCTTTGGGTTTCATAGTTGGGATAAGAATGGTGTTGAGCGAAACAAAACTCAACATCATCTCTGAAGTGTTCAAAAAATAAACCTTTTCAAAACAAAGACGATGATCTGGAATTGGAATGAAAGCGTAGCGGAATTATAGCGATTTTCCAAGCGTAGCTTGGATGTGGCACAAGGTCGAAAGTAAGAGGCACCCAGTGAGGATCGAACTCACTACTGTCGTAATTGTTCTAGCTAGACAAGCTTGCTAACCATTACGCGACCTCAAGGTGCCCAGCGTAGTGGAATTATAACTTATTATTAGCAGAGTAAATAATTATAAAGCCCTTATATATATATATATATATATATATATATATATATATATATATATATATATATATATATATATATATATATATATTGTGTATATTTAGGCAGCTGTTTTTCATTGATGCATGTGTCATTAAATATAGACAAGTTGTGTCTATTTATTTTAAGTAAGTTTCTTTCATATTGTCTGATAAACGTAATAATTTTATCATTGAAAGACGAAAGGAAATCACCATATTGATACATGTTTAAATACGATCTAAGCTTTCGGCTTACATAAGCCATTATCAAAGATGACAATTACATTTCAATATATCAAACAATACACGGACGAAACAATAATGATAGTCTGTTTTTGTTGCATAAAAAATTACAAAGCAACGACAAACTCGTGTATACGAGACGCGGAAGCGGAAATCGCATCGTAGCTCGTGCTATATATATATATATATATATATATATATATATATAATGTAAAAAAAAATGCTCAAATATTGTGGCCCTTCCGCGACATATACAGCATGTATTTGTGTTAAGATTTTTCAATCGTTTTGAAAATTATAAAAACTTTGTGTAACTAAAATATTTCACATTGAAAATGAAGATCCAGAGAATATGTGTAACAAATTTATATATATATATATATATATATATATATATATATATATATATATATATATATATATATATATATATATATATGAGGGGGCCTTTATTGCGTACGAGCGTGCGTTTAATGTTTGGGTGCCATAAAGCTTAAGTTTTTAATCTTAATCACACCTGATTTAGAGATTTCAAAGCTTAAAACAGATTTGTACACCTGTCTCCTGGACTTGAAACCTTTTTCATAAAAGGATCGGTTCCACATACCTATATATATAATATATATATATATATATATATATATATATATATAGACACTGCGGTCAACACCAAGCGGCGACAGTCTGTCTCATACTTGAATGTGATCTATCTATCTATCTATCTATCTATCTATCTATCTATCTATATTAGCTGTGATACAGCGAAACAGTCTGTCTGTGGATGACATATATATATATATATATATATATATATATATATATATATATATATATATATATATATATATATATATATATGCAAAACACGCAGGATTGCAGAAATATACTCGAACCGATGAACTTCCCGAATCTGAACAAATATGAGGTTTGTTTCCGGTGTCTTTGAACTTTTAAACATTTCTCGCCCTTTATATGATCGGAGAAGATGGCGTTGAATCCAGCTTGACGTTCGAAATCCTTTCTTTTTGTCTTTCTCCGGACGTCGGCTGTTGTCGCTGTTGAGATATTATTCCAGCCATCAAAGGGCCCTGCTGAGGCGACTTCTTTTTGCTTTTGCTTGATTTCGGCTCACGGCCTTTTTGAACGAAATTCTGAGCAATATTATGACACTACTCTAAATTCTGAAACATTAAATACTGACATTAAAGACTAACTTGAGTCAATGGATGGTGGACCGGGGTTGGGAAGGATGACAAATGTTACTAAGTGCTCCAAGGGATAAGTAGTTGTGGAGAGCTATGATCGCCAATGTGGATTATATTTACTGGATTCGAGATAATTAAAAAAAATACGACTCGTTTTTGTGTAAGAATCACCGTTTGATCTAGCAAGAGAACAACATTGTAGAAAGGTACGAGTTATTAGAAGAAATCACTTCCTTTTGTTCAGATCTCCTCAAAAGCCCATATCTTTTTTTTTTTTCTTTTTTTTTTTTCGTATCCGAAACATAAATTAAGTAATTTCTAAGATATCAAGGGATTTTCATTTGACTTTAATTCCTACTACTCCAAACGTTGCTTTATGAACAAAAGGGGAATTGAAGCTAGCTAGGGTCTGGTGCTCTCTCTGTGTGTGAGAATGTTACGCCAGATTAGACAGCAGATTCTCCTACAAAAAGAGGCACAGGTTTGAACCCAGCCAGAGAAAACATTTTCTTTCTTAAGTTTCTCGAATTCAAAGACCGGCAGATGTATTATCTTGATGGTTATTGGGTGGGGTGTAACAGTTATGTTTCAAATTATTCTTGAGGCTATTCAGTAAGAATAATTGGGAATCTGAATGTGGTTATTTGTAGCCGTTTTATAGTCGTTGTTTGTTAACTTTTTAATCATTATTTATTATTGATTTGATTATATACTTATTTGTTGTTGATTATTATCATCATTACATATACTTTTGTCTATGTATCCATTCGTTTACTTTATTTATATTTTATGCTTAATTTTTGTCAAGGTTTAATTTAAAGAGTTGGCTTTGTCTAAAGTATGTTACATTATCTGTGTTGTATTGTACAAGGTATTCGTTTTTAGTTTTCGATTTTTGAATAACGTAGAAAAATTTGTATTCGTTTCAGAATTTTGAAATAAATCTTTAGTAATTTGAGTTCTGATAAGATAATTATAGGTATTTTCTTTTCTAGGCAATTTTGCAGTTTGGGGATTTATTATTGTAGGCTGATACTGTTTTCCTTATTTTTCATGATATTTTTAGTGTAATTTGTTTTTTGTTTTTAATTTCCCATATATTTTCTTTTCGTATTTACTATTTGTAAAGGATGTTTCGTGTGCGTAATTTCTCTGTTACCAGGTTCCTTCAGTTACTCCTGTGTATATATTTCTTCGTTACCTGCTGAATTTACAGGGGCTTGGTATATTATATTATTTTGCAAGCAATTGCCATTTAAGGGACATTCACTCTTTGCTCTGCAGTTACAGGCGTGTTTGGTTTGTGCAGGTGGTTGGTTGGTTGGTTATTTTTCTGTTTTGATTTTTTAATATTTGTGTCATGCGCAACTTAGCTGATTTTTAGTATGTTCTGTTGAATATTTTGTGGAGAGTGCTTCACGGAGAGAAGTTTGTGGGTGAGTTTAAGGAATAATTTTCCTATGTTTCTTTTTACGTTTTTTTCTTTCTTTCATTTTGTACTGTGTGGAGTGTATGTGAGTGTTGCCGAAAATCCACTATATGTTAGGACAGTTTCATAATTCATTTTGGCTTCGTGGAAGACAGTTTCATTGGAAGAATTGTCAGTTAACCTACGATTATTGGATTGTTGAATCTGCTTCATTATTGTTGGATGATGTGTGTATGTAAAGTAATTTGTCGTTGAGTTTTCTATATGTTTGTTACATACCTTTTCTTAAAATAAGATAACCTACCCCGGAAAAAATTAAATAAAGAGGTTTCTCCTGCTAAAAGGGACGCTGGTTCGAATCCTGCCAGAGAACATATTCTCTTTATTTATTTTTTTCGAGTTCGCAGACAGGTAAACGAAATAAACATTGTCTAAAACACGGCGAGTTTATTCAAATACGGTTATCCACTAAAATTGGCGTCGGATTAATAGATAGATAGATAGATAGATAGATAGATAGATAGAATACCATGAAATAGATAGAGAAAATACCATGAAATAGATAGATAGATAGATAGATAGATAGATAGATAGATAGATAGATAGATAGATATGGGCTGGTAAGGATATATAGAGACTTCGGATATACAAAAAACTGTAACAATACTGTCATGAGTGTGTAGATGTGTGCGTTTGTGTATACAAATATGTGTACTTCTTATATCGACTCCTTTATTGTCTCGTAAACATTTTCGACCACACTATTCCAGAAAGATTGTGTTACGGAAGTCGATCGCGTCTTTAGACTGAAGCCGACATCACGTGCTCAAGATGGCTGACAAAAAAAAAGGTTTTCACACATTATGCTATTGTGAAGGATATCTTGCCGCCGGCTCACGTAAGTCCTTCGGTATCCAGCGTTACAATTTCAGTCAGACAGACGACATGATCGAACAAAGAATACTTCACGAAAATAAAAACAAAATAATTACCTCCTACAGAAAAGAAAAATAAAGAACGCTGAAACGGTGGGCATAAACAAATGCTTTTAAACAAACCCACTGGCGGCAAAGTTGTTTTTTTCATATCCTGAACCGCTTTGTTTTCATTAGTTTTTTTTTTATTATGTATTATCAGTGTGTGTTTATGTGTTATTTTCTTTCTTTCTTTTTATTCACACCTTTATTCTTTCACTTATTGTAAAAGCTTTTTTTTTATACGGATCATCACATAATGGCGTCAAGTCGTTCTTCCTGCGAACTTGAAATATTTCTCGTATTCCAACTATTAAAAAAACTGTATAAAGTTGTGACCTTGATTGTACTAAGCTTAGTATTGTTCAGATTTTAGGCAAAAGTTTTTAAAAAGAGAACGTTCATTCACTAATGACATCTACCGAAAGAATATATATATATATATATATATATATATATATATATATATATATATATATATATATATATAAAAAGATATGTTTGGTGGTACAAAATTTTATCACTGCCATGAATAGAGAAAAATTAGTTTTATTATTACCAGTCATGATAATAAAAATTAAAAATTAAAATCGGGCCAGCTAATCGATTTCGTTAAATCGAGGTAAATAGAATAAATTATATAATAATAGAAAAAACAATGGACAAAGTTTATTGGTGGAAAAAAATATTAAATGATAATTAGTTGGAGGCCTAATATAAAATCCTTCTGTTTACAAAGAGAAGGCTTTAATGATAGAATATAGATGGCCTCCAACACTTTTAGACGGTAATTTGAGTGGGACTTGCTAAGGACGGTAAAAGCGTCCGCACTAAAACTAACAGCACAATTATGGCGATTTATAAGGTGTTCTGCGATGTAAGACCCGTATGTATTGGTCAGAATGTCCGAGGGAGTGTACTTCTGGTTTCGGATTTTCGCTGGAACGTGTTGTTTTATTCTAGCATCTAGCCTTTGCGCCGTTCTCCCTATGTAGTGCGAACCGCAAGTACATTTAAAGGAATATATATATATTTAGGTACCGCCATGAGATCACTGGAAAATGAGGATAGCAGGATAATAACGGCCTTAAACTTGACGAAAACAAAATTTTATCGTCAAAATGTTTGTTTTTATTAAGAGGAAAGAACAAAGTAATTTTTAATTATTTTTTCAAAAAATTTCTGTCTTTATTAAAGCTTTCTAACTATTGATTGAAAAACCTCGTTTCTCTTCATCAGCGAAAGTCCTACTAAATAAAATGGCGGATTTTTTAATAGCAGTCATTAATTTTGAAAATCTTGCAAAAATAAAAACAATTGTCGGATTTTAATGAAACTTTCAGAAACTATTCATAAATGATGGAAATTATTATAAAGATGTCTTCTTCCTTTTTTTTAAAGTCATAGTAAAAAAAGTTTTTTTTATTTATTCCCACCCCCATAACTAATTTTATGAAAACTCTTGAAATTGAAATTTGTACAGTTTTAGTGATTAATTAGTTAAAAGCACAAGGCTTTGAGGAAAGCAAATCATATTTTCTTAGGTGACACCTAAAAATCAGCTCTGACATACAAAACTCAATAAAACAAAGACATTATTTAATTTCAAAAGCTTTTACTTGCTTTTACTTGTTTTTATGAATATGGATAATATTGTCTGAAAGCAAAAAACGTTTTCGATAAAAAATAAATTTTTACAACAATTATTTTTTATTTCATAAATTATTTTATTTTTTTACATTAAAGTTGTTAAATATTCTAAAATTAATGAAAATGTTGTACAGTTTAGTCAATGGTGTTATTAAGTAGATAAATATCATTACAGATTATAAAATAAAGCTGGTTACAATCAGCAATCTGCAAATAGATAAAAATCTAATATAACGTGTTTTTTGTGTCCAAAAATAGCTTAATTTAAATATACGGAAGAACGGAAGCATCATGAAAACAATAGTCCGTCACGTGGTTTGTGTTGGTGGTAACATAAACATTTTGACAATAAAATTCTGCTTTTGTCAAGTTTAAGGCTGTTTCTATCATGCCTACTTAAAAATAACGAGGTAAATAAGTTGTTCACATAAAGCTAAACTGTCACTTATGACCTTCCGTACTATAACTTTTCCCCCGGTAAGATGTCCAGTGCGTGATGAAATTACGCACATATCACTTGTCAATCAATACCGCTGTTAAGACCGGCTTTCTCTCATTTTTTCAGCGCAGAAAGTAAGTAATGTTTGTTTCAAAATATATTAAATAAACTTTATAATTTCTAATTTTTTAAATTAATTTTTTAAAAATCATAATTGATTTTTTAAAAGAATTTTAAACGGAGTTTTAAAAAAATGGTTGACGATCGATTTTCTGTCAATTTTGCTGATAAAAAAAATACAAGATTTTTAACGAAAATTTTGGAGGTGCTAGAAATTATTAAAAAATGTAAAAAAATAATCAAAAAACACTTTCATCTTTTCTCTTGATAATAACATAAACATTTAGACGATAGAAAAAGTTATTTTCATCAAGTTTAAGGCCTTTTTTTTATGCTACGCTCATTTTTCAGCGATCTCATGTTGGTACCTAACAACCTATATATATATATATATATATATATATATATATATATATATATATATATATATATATATATATATTTAATTGTTTATTCTTTGATGGTTTCCCGGTACCTAAACGAAATCAAACAGGTGCAAGAAGTTAGATATCTGAGAAGCATGTTAAAGAATACGGCAAGTGCGTCACTGAAATCCGAAGGCGTATTGGGATAGAGAAAGATGCCTCCCAAAAGCTGAGCAAAGTATTAAGAAACAAGAAAATATCGCAAGAAACAAAGAAAAGAATTGTTATGTAATATTTCCTCGTATATGTCAGTGAATGCTGGACAATCACCTCACAGATGAAGAGAAGACTTGCAGCAACAGAAAAGTGGCTCTACGGAAGGATACTGAGAATACCATAGATTGAACATATGGGCAACAAGGAAGTTCTAGAGGCAAGGAAAGCAAAAAAAGGAAACTTATACATAACATCATGAAAAAAGCAGTTGAAGGAGGCTTGGAAAATTTGATACTCACAGCGCCGATTGAAGTTAAGGGGAAAGGAATGGACAACATACCTCTTAATTGCTGATGTTCCCAGGTCCACCCTGACCCGCAGTGGTAGCACCTGTCAGGGTCCCAGTTATGGGCAAATAGTTAACCAACCAAACTGAAGTCAAAATCATAATGAAAGTGTAAAATAGGTTTTAATACCAGCAATACATTTTTGGAAAAAATTATTACCAGCAATATATTATTACCAGCAATACATTTTTAAAAAAAAATATCAGAATTACATTTTTGAAATAAAACAAAACAAACAAAACCCTTGGGGAAGGCATGAATCGATTTCTACCTATAAATCAGATCTTATATATAATCGTACATTGCTAATGTGACACTATTTAGCTATGGTAATTGGCTAACTAATTAACCATAGAAATTAAAAACGGAAATACTTAAAGCGAGAAAGAGCTATATCGAAAGATAGACTGAGCGACATTAAAAAAAAAGAAGAATTTATTTTATTTACAAAAGAAAGATACTTTTCGCAAAAGACAGAAAATCCGTAAGAAAAGGCGAGACTGTGATTCTGTCAAAATTAATTAATGTCTCAATAAGGGAGTTACGCGCCAATGTAAACAGAATTCAGATAGAAAAACAAAGCCGGCCGACGCATGCGGCTGTGGAAAAAATTTGGCTTGGGACCACCCTGGAGAATAGCTATTAATTATCTTTCAGAGATATCATTTAATTTTGGTTCTTGGATCCAGCGAAGAGACCCATTTGGTATATGTACGAATCTTGACATGAAAAAGAGTGTCGAAAAGGGGATTATTATTATTATTGCTTATTCAAACTGTTGACGTCATACATAGCGTCTTGAAAATGAGCATCTGGTGATAAGAGAATTTTAAGGCATGAGAAAAATAAAAGAATTTAATTATCAAGTAAACTCGACCACCCAGTTAAAAGTTGACTAAGTGGATCTGAGTGTCCCCAAAATCAAGATGTGATAAGAATTATTCGGCAATCTGGGATTTGTAAATGTTTTGGCCGAAGGAAAAGAAAAAAAAAGGATTTTGTAAACAAAATTCTTTACAATAAATCTAAGAGGGCCGGTCTAGCCACACCCACGTTGCTGAAAGATCATTGGCCAATTGATAGCATGAGTGATAGGCGGAGGTGAATGTATGAGGAAGACGGAGAAGTTGTTAACACCCACTGAGGAGATTGGTATGAGATACCAATGTGAGAGAGGAAGAGTCTAGAAGGATAACTCTCTTCCGACCTTCCCTCACGGACGAGGGAGAAACCCCCGAAATGGAAAGTGATTAATCTTCCTGACCTAAGAACAAAGAGAATTCTTGTTGGGAATTGAGAATTGTCATTGAACCCAAACTACGTCAGGCCCCCACACCGAGTTTGGGTCGGTGTCCATATAAGTTGGAGACCAGCCTCGCAGAAGCTGACCGAAAGATTTCCATGTCCCTCTTGACTTAGTCTTCCTACCAAAAGCAAGTTTTTATTGACGAACGACTTAAGGTACCATAACTCGCTTAAGAAACGCAAAAAGTGTCACGAATCCATAGAACGGGCTGGTAGAGAAACACACTCCTGTATTCAACAGATAGATAAAGATAAATGTTATTTCTCAAAATATTTGAACCTCTTTAGTTGTTTTAGCATTTTTTTTTTTTTTTACTTACGCTTGTGCGGTATCACCTTTACCCCGGATTCAGCTTGCACGCCTGATTGATTTCATCTACCCAAGATCAAAGTCACAACGTGGGTAGGTTAGACTTGAGATCAAAACAGTTACTTCGGTAACCAGACGTTGGAAGTGGGCTGTGAACGACAAGTTGGTATCGAACCGGGAACGACCATTTCGGACTGAACCATTGTGGACGAAATAAAGTGTTTGGTTCGAAATTCCAAACGCCTGAAGAAGGCCGGAGCGTACGGTGGTCGAAACGTTGTGAATATGGCAATGAAGATGGGATAACAGTCCCAATAATGTAAATAATACAAGTAATCATAATACCTCATCTCAGAGATATAGAGGCCGAAACCTTGTGAATATGACAATGAATATGAGGATAACAGTCCAAATAAATGAAATAATACAAGTTACGAAAAAATATATATATGAAAGTATGTCGATAATCTAACGTCATTTCTCTGGCTAATGCTCAGATGATTTCAACTCATTAGTTCCACCAGTTCAGACCTTTACAATCCCGATACACCATGCTACTGACACAGAACCGAATCACCCTCATTTCCTACATATTCCAAATGTATGGCAAAAGTTCCACCCTGACAGCTTTCTCTCAAAGAACTGCTACTTTGTGGGGAAGACTCCCGCATAGATGATCCCCTGGAGACTACAATTTTAACACCTTCAAATCATGGGTAAAGCGTTATCTATCCTTTTTATCCTCGTTAACTTCTCTCCCTCATTTTATTCATATTACACACCTTGATCATAAACGTTTTAATAATAACACTCTATTTTGAGTGGTTCTTGAGCCTTGTATTGTTTATATAATATATTGTCCATGCAGCAATCTCTTTCAAGAAAATTCTTATTTGAATATTGTGGACCGGCGATGCAGAGCCACAAAAACTGCACAAAATAACAGAAACCACTTGAGGACTTCCAACAGCGGCAACAACTAAAACGGATAGCACATGGAACTTGAAGAGAAAATAATGACATAACCAAGATGTTGACATTCCATACTGCTTCAAATAAAATGATAGGAAGGAAACTTTTATCTGTACTGGAAAGAGTGATCACAGCTACTGGACTTGAGAAACCTGTTTTCCTAAAAAAATGTTTTAAGAGAAAGATTTAAGCCAAAAGCAGCACTGGCAGTTCGGCCAATGGTAATTTTCTAAGCGTAGCTTAGATGTGGCAATGAATGCCAAATGTTTTCTTGCAGGAAAACGGTTAATATAACCATTGCCAGTCAATCTTTAGCAGATACTGAGTATTGCATGGTTAAAACCATTGCTGGTATTTTATCTACTGTGTAAACTAACGAGATTTGAACGCTGAATGAATAGAAGAAAAAGGAAAGAAAAAAGCAAGAAGGAGAAGGAAGAGAAGAAAAAGGAGAAGAATGAGAAAAAGGAGAAGGAGGGGTAACTAATAAGAAGAAGAAGAAGAAGGATGAGACGGAACGAAGAGGAAGAAGAAGAATGAGACGGAACGAAGAAGAAGAATGAGACGGCACGAAGAGGAGAAGAGAGACGGAACGAAGTAGAAGAAGAAGAAGAAGAAGAAGAAGAATGAGACGGGACGAAGAAGGAGAAGCAGAAGAATGAGATGGAACGAAGAAGAAGAAGAAGGAGACGCAACGAAGAAGAAGAAGAATAAGACGGAAAGAAGAAGAATAATGAGACGGTACGAAAAAGAAGAAGAAGAAGAAGGAGAATGAGACGTTACGAAAAAGAAGAAGAAGAAGGAGAATGAGACGGTACGAAAAAGAAGAAGAAGAAGAAGAAGGAGAATGAGACGAAACGAAAAAGAAGAAGAAGAAGGAGAATGAGACGGTACGAAAAAGAAGAAGAAGAAGGAGAATGAGACGGAACGAAAAAGAAGAAGAAGAAGGAGAATGAGACGGTACGAAAAAGAAGAAGAAGGAGAATGAGACGGTACGAAAAAGAAGAAGAAGAAGAAGGAGAATGAGACGGAACGAAAAAGAAGAAGAAGAAGAAGGAGAATGAGACGGTACGAAAAAGAAGAAGAAGAAGAAGGAGAATGAGACGGAACGAAGAAAAAGAAGAAGAAGAGGAAGAATGAGACGGTACGAAGAAGAAGAAGAAGGAGACGGAACGAAGAAGAAGAAGAATGAAATGGTACAAAGAAGAAGAAGAATGAGACGGGGCGAAGAAGAAGAAGACGGAAAGAAGAAGAAGAATGAGACGGTACGAGAAAGAATAAGAAGAAGAAGAATGAGACGGGGCGAAGAAGGAGAAGCAGAAGAATGAGACGGAACAAAGAAGAAGAAGAAGTAGACGGAACGAAGAAGAAGAAGACGGAAAGAAGAAGAAGAATGAGACGGTACGAGAAAGAAGAAGAAGAAGAAGAATGAGACGGAACGAAGAAGAAGAAGAAGAAGAAGAAGGAGACGCAACGAAGAAGAAGAAGAAGAAGACGGAAAGAAGAAGAAGAATGATACGGTACGAAAAAGAAGAAGAAGAAGAAGATGAATGAGACGGAACGAAGAAGAAGAAGAAGAAGAAGAAGAAGAAGAAGAAGAATGAGACGGTACGAAGAAGAAGAAGAAGAATGAGACGGTACGAAGAAGAAGAAGAAGAATGAGACGGAACGAAGAAGAAGAAGAATGAAATGGTACAAAGAAGAAGAAGAATGACACGGTAAGAAGAAGAAGAAGAATGAGACGAAACGGGGAAGACGAAGAAGAATGAGACGGAACGAAGAAGAAGAAGAAGAAGAAGAAGAAGAAGAAGAAGAAGAAGAAGAAGAATGAGCAGAAGATAGAAAAGAAGAAGAAGGAGAAGAAGGTGGAGGAGAAGGAGACGGAACGAAGAAGAAGAAGAAAAAGAAGAAGAATGAGTCGGAATGGAAAAGAAGATGCAGAAGAAGAAGAAGAAGAAGAAGAAGAAGAAGAAGAAGCAGAAGAAGAATGAGACGGAACGAAAAAGAAGAGGAAGAAGGAGAAGAAAAATGAGACGGTACGAAGAAGAAGAAGAAGAAGAAGAAGAAAAAGAGAAGAATGAGACGGAACGAAGAAGAAGAAGAATGAAATGGTACAAAGAAAAAGAAGAAGAAGAATGAGACGGTACGAAGAAGAAGAAGAAGAATGAGACGGTACGAAGAAGAAGAAGAAGAAGAATGAGATGGTACGAAGTAGAAAAAGAAGAAGAATGAGACGGTACGAAGAAGAAGAAGAATGAGATGGTACGAAGAAGAAGAAGAATGAGATGGTACGAAGAAGAAGAAGAAGAATGAGATGGTACGAAGAAGAAGAAGAAGAAGAATGAGACTGTACGAAGAAGAAGAAGAAGAATGAGACGGGACGAAGAAGGAGAAGCAGAAGAATGAGACGGAACGAAGAAGAAGAAGAAGAAAAATGAGACGGTACGAAGAAGGAGAAGAAGAAGAAGAGGAAGAATGAGACGGTACGAAGAAGAAGAAGAATGAGACTGTACGAAGAAGAAGAAGAAGAAGAATGAGACGGTACGAAGTAGAAGAAGAAGAAGAATGAGACGGGACGAAGAAGGAGTAGCAGAAGAATGAGACGGAACGAAGAAGAAGAAGAAAAATGAGACGGTACGAAAAAGAAGAAGAAGAAGAGGAAGAATGAGACGGTACGAAGAAGAAGAAGAATGAGACGGTACGAAGAAGAAGAAGAAGAAGAAGAATGAGACAGAACTAAGAAGAAGAAGAATGAAATGGTACAAAAAGAAGAAATGAGACGGAACGAAGAAGAAGAAGAGGAAAAAAAGAGACGGTACGAGGAAGAAGAAGAAGAAGAATGAGACGGTACGAAGAAGAAGAAGAAGAAGAAGAAGAAGAAGAATGAGAATGAGAAGAACTAAGAAGAAGAAGAATGAAATGGTACAAAAAAGAAGAATGAGACGGAACGAAGAAGAAGAAGGGGAAAATGAGACGGTACGAGGAAGAAGAAGAAGAAGAATGAGAAGAAGTAAAGAAGAAGAAGAAGAAGAAGAAGAAGAAGAAGAAGAAGAAAAAAGAAGAATAAGAATAAGAATGAGACAGAACTAAGAAGAAGAAGAATGAAATGGTACAAAAGAAGAATGAAGACGGAACGAAGAAGAAGAAGAGGAAAAAATGAGACGGAACGAAGAGGAAGAAGAAGAAGAAGAATGAGACGGTTACGAAGAAGAAGAAGAATGAGACGGTAAAAGAAGAAGAAGAAGAAGAATGAGACAGAACTAAGAAGAAGAAGAATGAAAATGGTACAAAAGAAGAATGAGACGGAACGAAGAAGAAGAAGGAAGAGGAAAAAATGAGACGGTACGAAGAAGAAGAAGAAGAAGAAGAAGAAGAAGAAGAATGAGACAGAACTAAGAAGAAGAAGAATGAAATGGTACAAAAAGAAGAATGAGACGGAACGAAGAAGAAGAAGAGGAAAAATGAGACGGTACGAGGAAGAAGAAGAAGAAGAATGAGATGGTACGAAGAAGAAGAAGAAGAAGAAGAAAAAGAAGAAGAAAAAGAAGAAGAAGAAGAAGAATGAGACAGAACTAAGAAGAAGAATAATGAAATGGTACAAAAAGAAGAATGAGACGGTACGAAGAAGAAGAAGAATGAGACGGTACGAAGAAGAAGAAGAAGAAGAAGAAGAATGAGACAGAACTAAGAAGAAGAAGAATGAAATGGTACAAAAAGAAGAATGAGACGGAACGAAGAAGAAGAAGAGGAAAAAATGAGACGGTACGAGGAAGAAGAAGAAGAAGAATGAGACGGTACGAAGAAGAAGAAGAATGAGACGGAAGAAGAAGAAGAAGAAGAAGAATGAGACAGAACTAAGAAGAAGAAGAATGAAATGGTACAAAAAGAAGAATGAGACGGAACGAAGAAGAAGAAGAGGAAAAATGAGACGGTACGAGAAGAAGAAGAAGAAGAAGAAGAATGAGACGGTACGAAGAAGAAGAAGAATGAGACGGTACGAAGAAGAAGAAGAAGAAGAATGAGACAGAACTAAGAAGAAGAAGAATGAAATGGTACAAAAAGAAGAATGAGACGGAACGAAGAAGAAGAAGAAGAAAAATGAGACTGTACGAGGAAGAAGAAGAAGAAGAATGAGAAGTTACGAAGAAGAAGAAGAAGAAGAAGGAGAAGAAGAAAAAGAAGAAGAAGAAGAAGAATGAGACAGAACTAAGAAGAAGAAGAATGAAATGGTACAAAAAGAAGAATGAGACGGAACGAAGAAGAAGAAGAGGAAAAATGAGACGGTACGAGGAAGAAGAAGAAGAAGAATGAGACGGTACGAAGAAGAAGAAGAATGAGACGGTACGAAGAAGAAGAAGAAGAAAAAGAAGAAGAAGAAGAAGGAGAATGAGACAGAACTAAGAAGAAGAAGAATGAAATGGTACAAAAAGAAGAATGAGACGGAACGAAGAAGAAGAAGAGGAAAAATGAGACGGTACGAGGAAGAAGAAGAAGAAGAATGAGAAGGTACGAAGAAGAAGAAGAAGAAGAAGAAGAAGAAGAAGAAGAAGAAGAAAAAGAAGAAGAAGAAGAAGAATGAGACAGAACTAAGAAGAAGAAGAATGAAATGGTACAAAAAGAAGAATGAGACGGAACGAAGAAGAAGAGGAAAAATGAGACGGTACGAGGAAGAAGATGAAGAAGAATGAGACGGTACGAAGAAGAAGAAGAAGAAGAAGAATGAGACGGAACTAAGAAGAAGAAGAATGAAATGGTACAAAAAGAAGAATGAGACGGAACGAAGAAGAAGAAGAGGAAAAATGAGACGGTACGAGGAAGAAGAAGAAGAAGAATGAGAAGGTACGAAGAAGAAGAAGAAGAAGAAGAAGAAGAAGAAGAAGAAGAAAAAGAAGAAGAAGAAGAAGAAGAATGAGACAGAACTAAGAAGAAGAAGAATGAAATGTTACAAAAAGAAGAATGAGACGGAACGAAGAAGAAGAAGAGGAAAAATGAGACGGTACGAGGAAGAAGAAGAAGAAGAATGAGATGGTACGAAGAAGAAGAAGAAGAAGAAGAATGAGAAAGAACTAAGAAGAAGAAGAATGAAATGGTACAAAAAGAAGAATGAGACGGAACGAAGAAGAAGAAGAGGAAAAATGAGACGGTACGAGGAAGAAGAAGAAGAAGAATGAGACGGTACGAAGAAGAAGAAGAATGAGACGGTACGAAGAAGAAGAAGAAGAATGAGACAGAACGGGGAAGACGAAGAAGAATGAGACGGAACGAAGTAGAAGAAGAAGAAGAATGAGACGGGACGAAGAAGGAGAAGCAGAAGAATGAGACGGAACGAAGAAGAAGAAAAAGGAGACGCAACGAAGAAGAAGAAGAATAAGACGGAAAGAAGAAGAATGAGACGGTACGAAAAAGAACAAGGAGAATGAGACGGAACGAAGAAAAAGAAGAAGAAGAGGAAGAATGAGACGGAACGAAGAAGAAGAAGAATGAAATGGTACAAAGAAGAAGAAGAAGAATGAGACGGTAGGAAGAAGAAGAAGAAGAAGAAGAAGAAGAAGAAGAAGAAGAAGAAGAAGAATGAGACGGAACGGAGAAGACGAAGAAGAATGAGACGGAACGGAGAACAAGAACAAGAAGAATGGGACGGAACGAAGAAGAAGAAGAAGAAGAAGAAGAAGAAGAATGAGCAGAAAATAGAAGAAGAAGAAGAAGAAGAAGGAGGAGGAGGAGGAGACGGAACGAATAAGAAGAAGAAAAAGAAGAAGAAGAATGAGTCGGAATGGAAAAGAAGATGCAGAAGAAGAAGAAGAAGAAGAAGAAGAAGAAGAAGAAGAAGCAGAAGAAGACTGAGCAGAAGATAGAAAAGAAGAAGAAGAAGGATAAGACGGAACGAAGAAGAAGAAGAATGAGCAGAAGTTGGAGAAGAAGGAGAATAAGGAGAAGGATGAAGGAAGAAGAAGAAGAAGAAGAAGAAGAAGAAAATATTTAATGACCCATACACCAACTCCGAAGAGAAGATAATGAAAATAAATGAATAGAACTTAGGTCTATATAATATATATCCTCTGGTCAACGTGGGAAAATGTGATGATAGATTATTCATCATAAAATAATTATCAAGTGTTTCTTTTTCTTCTTCCTTATTTCTTTCTCTTTCTCTCTTTGTAGAAATTCGTTTATAACAGATAATAAGATTGAATAGTCACACCTTAAAAGCAATGAAGTCTTTATCAGTGTTATTTTCCGCTTCATTTAATGGATAGAAAAAAACCCTGTAACATTGACCTGACGAAAGCTGAACCTGCCTCTTGCCGCTCAGTCAAAAATAAATCCCTCAACAACAACGACAGTTGCCTACCAATTGTTAAAATTATAAAAATCCACAGGAAGATATAAGAAAAAAAATAAGGTTTTGTGGGATGACAGCGCGCGAAAAAGGAGTCAAACCCAAGTATCAAGAAAGGTGTTTAGTCGTTGGATTTTATTGAAAAGCCCCCCGGGTCTTTTTTGCTGGAAATGTGACGGTCAACTGCAGTATAGCCATCAGTGGATACTAATGGAGTCTTTATGGGAAAGACTTCTCGTATTTTTTAATTCACGCTGAGGAAGTTAGGCTCTTTTGAAGGGCAAAGAAAGGTGACGGAAAGATAAATGACTAAGTGCTCGCCGAGATCAAAAATCGTTTTATTACAATTGTTATCCAGAGTTCGGTACCTCCGTCACTTTGCTGACGGCAAGATGATCAAATTTCAAATCTAAATGGTTTGCCCACTTAAATAAATATATTTATTAGAAAACATATTCAGTTTAAATACAGAAGCCATAAAAATGACTTCAAAGAGTCGGTTTGTACGCTTTTCCCGTTTGCCAGGGTTTGTTGCCAAATTAGGCTTGCGCGACACATATTTTAATTTCAGTTTTATTCAGATTATCCTTGTGTGTAAATTTTCGCGTGGGCTTGTATATTTTAATTGGACAGCAGTGCTAGAAATATTTCTACAAAATAAAAATAAAAAAATTTAAATAATTTTATTTCGTAACGAATAATTTCCGAAATAGTTCAATAAAATCTTATAATTATTTATTATTTTACGGTTTAAAAATTTAACTTCTTTCATGTCCCCAAATTTGTGATATTATTCCTCAGCCCAGGGTAGGGGTTGTTCAGACTTTGAAGGGGGAATGTATTATTTCTAATTCCTTATTTAAAAATCAGTTAAATTGTGTGTGTGTGTGTGTGTGTGTGTGTGTGTGTGTGTGTCTGTGTGTGTGTGTGTATGTGTCTGTGTGCGTGTGGGTACATTAAATGACACAAGTATATGTAAATCACTAACACACAGCACAGACATTTCTTTTACAGTAAGATTCACACCCTGTACAAGGCCCGGGGGTCACTCGAGGTATAGGATTACCTTAAGGGGGCAGTTTATATGGATGGCAATAACCCTTGATTGTTCTCTGTCTATTGTAATGTCCCATAAAATTGTTACAGGTCCTATCTCCGTAACAGAGTTTGGGTGGGGTTCGTACCAATTTTTTGCAGTTTCCTTTCAGTAAATATTGCCCATTTTCTACTACAGATATTGGCCCACGCTGTCATGCCGAGTGTTATATTCAGTGGGTGCCAATACTGTACAACCTGATACAAGATTGTAAATTGTTTCTGGATACTTATCACAGAATCTGCATTTGGGGCTAACATAGTTTTTCAATATATGTGCTTGGTAATTTCTAGTTAGTAAGCATTGGTTCCGTGCAGCAAGAATAAAACCTTCGGTTCCAGCTTTTAACCCTGCACTACGTAGCCACTGATGAGTACAGAGTTTGTTTACGTCAGCTTGTTTGGTACGGGCAGAGTATTGACTGTGAAGCGATTTATCTTGCCACCGTTTCTGTATCTGGTCGGTTGCATTTGCCTTCTTTTCTAAGTATTTTGCAGCTGCAGTCGGTGTATTATGCTTTATATGCATTTCATTGCCTTTGAAATTTCATGTTGGCTTCCTTTATCACGCAATAAAGTTTCTTACGTCTTTCATTTTCTTTAACACAGATCATCATCCAGTCTTTTGTAGTTTCTTGGTATCTTTGAAGGCCAATTGTTCTAGTTGAACTAATCCTCTGCCTCCTTCGGATCTGGGCACATACAGATGATCAACATCATCCTTCGGGTGATGCATGCAGTGATCTGGATTTATAAAATGTATTGCCAAGGTGTTTATGGCTGTTATTCTTCTTTTTTGAATTCAACTCGGTATTCAGTGCCAGACGCACACACCTGTAGTACTCCTTTCTTATCTTCTCCTTTATTTGGGCATGTTGTATTCCATCTCCTTCGCTAATTCCTAGGTACCTATAGGCTTCTTTTTTTTTTCAGTTTCTTAATCTTTGTTACAAAATATAAATCTACTGAGTGTGTTTCTGTGATTCTCCCTTTCTTGAATGTTACTTTTGCACATTTATCTAATCCGAAATCCATACCTCTGTCGTTACTGGAATATTTTACAGTATTCAGGAGACTCTTCAACTTGTTTTCGTCTTTGGCAAAGAGTTTACGATCATCCATTTAGAGTAGGTGATTGAATACTTTCTTGTTTAGTTTGTATCCATAGCTATTAATGTTTAGCTCCTGCTTAAGGGGGATTAAGGACAGACAAATCAGAAGGGGTGACAAGGAGTCTTCTTGAAAGATTTATCGTCGTATATTCAGGCGGTTGAAGATGGTAGTGCCTCTGGTGTGATAATGTCGTTTTCTACATTCCCAAGCTGTGTTTAAAGAAATTTACTACCACGGAGGAGACTTTGTACATTTCCAAAGTCTTAAGCATCCAAGAGTGTGGTACACATTCAAAGACTTTATGGTAATTTATCTATGCTATGCTGAGATTCCTACCTCTTTTCCTGCAATTTTCCAGGCTCATTTTCTTTATCAGTAGTTGATCTTTGCAACTATATGAACTTTTCTGGCATCCCTTCTGTTCGAGAAAAAGTAAGTACGGTTCGTCAGGGGAGACGGATGAATTTATACGTGATGAACAGACATGTTATTGGCCTATAATTTTTCCGATTATCTGTTTTTGTCACCAGATATGTAATACTTTCAGTGATCCATTCTGGGATTTCACTGGGATTATTAATTAGCATTGATAGAGTTTGTGCAAGGTTTTTATTGACTGACAACAGATGACAGAGCTAAAAATTGGGTACCTTGTCATTTCCTGGGGATTTCCATTTCTGAGAGTTCGTTTGAGCGTTCCTAACATTGCTTTATTCATCATTCGTTCTTCTTGTTGGATCCACTCTGCATTAGTATTATATTCCTTTGAGTTGATCCAAATATTCTCCCAAAATGTCTGCACTTTTTCAATAGATGGTGGCTTTTTGACATGTATAACTGCTTTTCCAATTTCCCTGTAAATTTTCTTAAGGTCCGTTTGGAATATTTTATTTTGGCGATAGAAACTACAACATTTTTTGTAATGCCTTGTTCGCTGCCCCTTTAACTGCAGTTTTTGCTTTAGCATTTCCTTGATTGATGGAATTTAATTTAGTGATTTAACTTTTTTATTTCCTCATGATCTTCCTTGCGTATTGAGACATTTAGTTTTCTTGTGATTTCATTTAGTATCGATATCTGATATCGGGCTTCCTTTATTTCTCGCATCAATTTTACCTTCCAAGATGGCTCTCTTTGTCATTGTCTTGACCCCAAGCTTCGAAGTAGCTAGTAAAGCTGTTGCGTATATGACATTATTTACTTTTGTAATGTTTCCCAAGTGTTAACAGTGTTTCTAGTGCAACTTTGTATATTTGCACAATGTGCTGATTGCACTTTGCCATATCAATTATTGGGAATTGGTCTTTGTCTGACATTTGTGTGAGAGTTACTCTGCTTGAGTATTTAGATGATGTCGTTTTTCGCTTCGGTGATTTCACCTCTGTTGTTTTCAAAAAATTCTACCCTAATGTAGTTGGACTCATGTTCAGGTAAATTCTTCGGTTTTATTTCCTGGGAGATTATTATTTCGTATTTCATTCATTTTAGTTTTTAACTCATCCTCTCTCATATTATTTATCTATACTCCCATATTATTATTATTATTTCATGCATTTATGACCGTCACTGAAGACTGAATGACAGCAAGCTCAATCAAATCGTCAGGAGCTTCCTCAATATTTCACAGGCCGAAGTCAGTACGGACACAACCCCTCCTAATTTTTCCAACTCTTTCAATCTCGATGCCAGTATTTTGGGCATAATTTCAAGTGCTTTTATTATTATGGGCAGAACTCTAATCTTAGTTTTCGTCTTTCTCAGCTCCCAAGCGAGATCCTGTTATTTTCCAATTAAACAATTATTATTATAATTATTATTAAAGATCATGAAATTTTGATGAAGACGAATTTGGGAGATCTCCTTACAACAAAAGTTGATCAAATATAGAACTCATATTAGTTGAAAATTATATTTTCATAATAGCTTTAATATATATATTTACTATTCTGAACGATATTAGATCTTTTTTGGTCGAACTCAATTCTAGAGACGCAAAATGATAGGCGACCTACAAATGTTTTCCGAGCCACAAAACTGATCTTCCTTCCGTTATTTTTCCGTGTAGACTACAGTTCAAAAGTCTAAAGCCACCCCCAGAATTAGCGACTTATCCAGAGTCTGAATTAAACTAATGGGCGCTTTGGTGAACACACACAAAAGAGGGGAATACGGAGGGTGGGGAAAGGGTGAATTGCACATAAAATTGTTAATAAACTCCGAACGACGCTAATACCTTGATAGTGAAATTTAGGATTTCTCGGTTTTCTGAGAATTGATTTTGATAAAACTTTCCCCATCTGGTTTGCACAATATGGCAACAGCATTGTTAAATTTTCATTATTCTGTGTAACGTCCTTAATTTTTTATTTCAGATTCGACAATTTTTTGCAACATTCTTTAATCTTAACTACTTACGTGTTAATACCCTTGGGAAAGGGTATGAATCCTCTTCTTCTCCCCCCCCCAGTTATGGGTAAATAGCAGGACAGACCGAGTTCTATAGCCTTGATGGAAACTAGTCTACCGCAGAAAGAAATGGCAACCTACTG